AGTCGATGGGGGGTGCATTTGTTCATCACTTTCCCCCACTGTAGGCTGTCCCAATTCGTAGGTGCCTACTCAACCCTAATTTACACTACATGCGTTCCGACTCCGCTCCGCTCCGGTCTGACCTCTGCAGCAAATACCCACCCATTATAACCAAAGAAAGTGTTTACACTGGCTGCGCAGGGCGGCGGTGGGCGGCGGTGAGCGGCGGTGAGCGGACGGCGATCCAGCAAAATTAGAACAGATCCTATTTTTGCCGGACGCCGGAGCTGCGCCGGAGTCAATTTTTAAAGATTACGTCGCACCAACAGGAAAAGAAACGAGCACAACATCCGTATTTTCAAAATAAGACACTAGTAGGCGGGATAATTTGTGGGAATAATGTTGAAATTGCGCTACATTAATAAATATACAGATATATTTCTACACAAATGCTGTCAGAATGTATCATTCTGTTTCGGAAGCAGATGGAAACATGTAGCATGAAGCAWATRTGTACACACACGATACATGTGGATTTTATTTTGAAATCAGAAGTTTCAGAAAGCCGACAGTGAGACAGTTTCATCATAGATATCGAAAGCCTTTAAATCGTTGTTTTCAGCTGTGTTTGGAGTTCGTCTTTCACAGAATTAATTGTTTTTTTGCTGTGACTTCCACGCTTATCACTGAATTTATCACACTGCTTCCTGCACGTCTGTCGGACCAGAGCGGAGCGGATGTAGTGTAAACTGGTCTTGAAACGCACAGCTGCGACCTGCGCAGCGGAGTGAAGCGGAGCTGTAACGCATGTAATGTAAATTAGGGGTCATGCGGTTGACAAAACCTCAAAAACTTAGGCTGCATCTGAGTATCCTACGTGGCTGAAAGTATCATTGCACTGTCATCAAATTAAGCAGAAAACAATGACTTTAGAGTTTTTTTAATTGTTTTTTTTACAACAAAGTTTGGATATTTATAACAGATCCAAAAAAATGTAAGTTTAGCAATGTAGCTGAAGTTTTTGTTGCAATGAGATGCTAAATAAAATGAGGTTACACGTGCTGATACTGAAGCTAAACCCAAACTATTAATGCTTTCTATGTTTTTATTTACTTGTAACATTTTTCTATTAAGACTGAATTTTGTGAAGTTATACCTAAGAAAAAACAAAAACAACTGAAGCGACGTGATGTAAAATGCATCACTGTGGTAACGAGGCAGGGCGTGGTCACGCAAACATACGTCTTCCATAGACTAGACCGTCTCATTTCACAGCTGTTTATGCAGCCGACACAAGCGGCCTACCACCCACGTAGACTGTGGCCAACATGCACCACCGTCTACGTCGTTTGCAAACCATGAATTGAGACACAGCCTTTAACTGATGGATGCCACACTACGTGACCTTAAAAAAAAACAACAAAAATGACTAACTCAGTAATTTTTACAGTTCTTGTTAAAAAAAATCAATGTGTTTGTAAATGAAACTGATTTAGACTGAGTGAGAAAGAAATTCTTCGATTTTCAGAGTGAACAGTGAGGATTTGGAGAAAGAAACTTAACTCATGTTTGCTATTTGATATAATCACATTCAAGTTCAAGACAGCTGAGCAAAACTGCTCGTGGGAAACATAAATATGTTGAAAATTACCACAATTTATGTATTTCTTTGCTCTACAGTTTCCCATCATATAACTTGACAAATTAAAATATCACAGTGTAATGTTGCTACAGCTGCAGGCAGCACAGGAAACATTAACTCATGCGAGATGTTTGGAAGTCAGTTTAGATCCCCTGGCTTTCTTTTTTCTAATGTATATTTCAAACATTGTTTTTCAGTTAAGTCAGTCTATGATATTTCTTTTTTTTTTTTTCTTTTTGCAATTAATGACTTTTGCATTGCACCGCGTTGGGAGTCAGGGAATATTAAACTGAAGCAGTCAGGTGTGAAATAGCCCGAGAAAGAGGAAACTGAGGCGCAYTTAACATGTTCAAAAGCTCTGCGCAACACTTCCTGCCTGCCGAAAAAAAATGTTGTGATTAAAAGTGGAGACAAAAAAATAATAAATCAGATATTTATGCAGAAATAATGTGTTATTGACAAGGAGAGGCAGTTATGTGGATGGAACAAAGTAGGTGAGGACATGTAAGCAGACGAGACAGGATGATGATGATGATGATGATGATGATGATGATGATGATGATGATGATGATGATGAGGAGGAGGAGGAGAGGGAGGTTTGACAAACAGCAGCTCTGCAGTGAGGAATGAGCCTAACAGGATTAAGACTGCTGAATGACTGGAACTCTGACTGCCCTGTGTGTTTACGTACAGAATGTTGATCTCTGAGGCTTCAGGTTATTTAAAACTAAGGACAACTATGAAAAAATCTCGAACGTATCATTTTAGATGGTCCAAATGAACATGCTGTTTTCTATTGGGATTCATTTTAGCAGTTCTGCTGGTGGCTTTATCGGTGTAAACAGAAACATCCAAGTACATCATATTTTTTTTTATTATTGACATGCTCTCAAATAATTTAGGTTTTACTCAGAATCTAAAACCCCAGATTGGAAAAAAAAACTTGGGATGCTGTGTAAATTGTAAACAGAAAACAAATAGCAATAATGTGAAACTCTCATAAACTTATATTTTACTCACTAATGACTCTTGTACACATATGTAGTGTTTAGACTAGAAATATATACCATAGTTTTTTTTAAAGGGTCAGTTTTATGTGTATCTCAGGCATTTAGTTCAGTTCTATACAAAACTAAAGTAACTATGTCACCTTCAGATGTTATGAAAATGCTGTCAATTTGTATAAATCAAAACATAATTTGACTTKGCATCAAAGCCATTTCTAAATGCCTTGAAAATGTCCTCTGTTTCTTTTYTGATGGTACAAAAATAACATTATTGGGAGGCTGAATCTCTGACACATWGAAGCAGGTTCATGAGCCAGCATCTACAATGCTGAAATTATCTTAGAAAAATATTTCTTAATGAAAAACTGGAAAAAAGTTTATTTTGAAAATGACATGTCACCCTTTATTAAGGTGTGGTAATTTGATGAATGTTAAATGTTTTGTAATGCCTTAAGTCTCCTCAGAAACAACTTTAATATTGGTGGTAACTTGTTAAGTATTTACACAGATGCTTGAAGACTACTGTCTGCCATGAAACAGTAAACTAAATGTGTATAAATAGTGCCTCACATGAAATATATAAGAAGTGATGTCTAATGTTGCCTCTTCGGTGCTAGACAGTGTCCAATTTCTGTCTCACATYGTGGGCAAGGCAGAAACTTAGATCTCAGAAGGTTCCGACTCTAAGGTTAACGGCAACCTTTTAAAGCCTCAGATGATCGTCTGTTTACTTCCTGGAATGTCGCGGGTAAGCACCGATCTCTGAGGATGGGATTTCTAAATGTCGCATCTGTCACTAAGCTATCCGTTCTATGTGAAGTCCGTCTGTTGATGCCAGGAAACAGAAGAGAAAATGCTAGTGCAACCAGCGACCTGTTAGAGCTGAGGGAAGCCACGAGACAAACAAACAAAAAAAGTAGGACGCCAAGGAAATGTGGTCCATGACAACGCAAGAGCAAGGCAGAGAGGAGAAACAGAATGTGTGTTTACACTCAAAGCCGCACAGTCAATAAGTCAAAGGAAGTGTGTTCATTTTCTGTTTGACTGAGCAGAAGGGAGAGAAAATATTGGTCAGAGATGGTAATAAACAGGCAGCTGAAGGAAAGTTAGCCCTCACTGAACTTTCTCTACTGCTCTGCCTGAAGGAAATGTTTCTTCTGTTCTTTCATTCTATTTAAGGATCCTAAACTGTTGAACACATTTTACATCCTTTGTAACCTAAACATTTACCATAATCGATTTAATGATTTGATTTCATTTTATTAAAAAAACATGTATAAAAAAACTAAACAAAAAAATAATCCATAATAAACAAAACCATGCAAGAATCAAAAGAAAACAAGCGAAAACATGACTGAAAAGGAGCAGAAAGAAGTAACTTAATATCTAACCAACCTTTACTTGAAATAAAATCAATCACCAACTCTGAAGTCTGCCGCCAACATACGGAGAAATACACTCCAAACACAAAGTACTTCAAACATCACCTTAATACAAAAAAAAAAAAAAAGCTTTAGACTGCTTCAGCTCACTGTCGAGGCCGTTCCGCAAACTAACATCCTTAACTGAAATATATGTTTTTATCAACAAATCTCAGCTTCTTTTAAATTAAATAAACTTTCACTTTTAATAAATCTGATTTGAATGTTATTTGGTAACACTTTTTATGAGCTTTGTACACAAATTAAAAATAAGAAAAGAATTTTATTAACTAACAGCTTTTGAACCCTGTATTATATTCTCACTGAAAAAAAATCTATCAAACTCAGTAAACTTGGTAAAAAAAAAACAGAATATATATATACTGTATATAGAGTATATATACACTGTACAGCCCTTTTAAAAACATTTACTAACAAACTTTTTTGTATAGCTGGTATCCCAGAGGAATCTCCTTAGAAAACATCTGAAAACAGTCAGATTTACCTCTAAAATCAATTACCTTCAGTCCAGTTCAGTCCAGTTAAAACAGCATTTAAGATAACTGTTTGCCTGGTGTTCTAACCACAAATTTTMATTTGATTTGTAACACGGTCTCTGTTCAGCTTACAGTTGCCCTGATTCTACTGCAAAAAGAAAAAGCAAAAAAAAAAAGAAAAAAAGGAAAAAACAAAACCTGCATCCATCAGCTTCAACAACAACCAAATATGAAGTCGTTTTATGGATCTCAGCAGGCTTTTTGCAGTTGCTACGGACCAGTTTCTACACAGCTATAATCAGTCATCCAGCAAGTGACATCTTTAAAATTGGGCGGCAAAAGGTCAAAAAGAAAAGATTTGTATGAAGCGAGGGCTGCCAAGAGCTAAACGTAAGAGGCATGATCAATAGAAAGAAGTTAAAAAGATATAAAAAAAAAAAACATGACACACACACACGCACACACACAGACACACACACACACAGAAACTGAGACCTAAAAGCAAAATGGAGCCTGAGAGAAAAAGAAAGAACATGACAAGGAGTGCAGGAAGGAGAGCAGAGAGGCGGCAGCTGGATGGAGAAGATGCATGAGGAGAATCTAAATCACCTGCTGTTCTTTTCCTCGACMCCGAGCATAATACACTGTGTACTGACCAAGGGTTCATGTGGGAACATGCAAAACATGCTATCTGAGAGGAACACTCTGTCTGTCACTGCTTTTCTTTCCGTTTACAACGAGGTGTTAGAAGATGAATAAAAGGTGTGTGTCTCTTCAACACTGCATTTGTGCCTCTTCAGGTATGTGTGAGCTCATTAAGTGCACTGTCTGACAATCAGAGTGCAGTGCTGATCATGACCAAAAGAAGTCAGTCTTGTATTATAAAACTAACAACGGATTCCGATGGTCAGTTATAAAAACAATGGCTAGAATCTTTTCATTTTCATTGTTCAGAGAAGCTTTGAGCTTGTGCACAGCTCTTTGACAGAACTGTAACTTCTGGAGAAATAAAAAGAAAAACCCTCCCTCAGTTGTTTGAGTTGGTTCAAATCAAAGGTCCACAGTTTTGGGTCATTTTCACACCTGATAGCCCAGTAGACTCGGTTCGATCGGGGACAAAAATAGCAAGATTTGTTTACATTTTCAGTTGACGCGGTTCACATTCAAACCGCACTTTGTCAAACAAACCAAACCCTGTGAACAACCTGTTCCCCCCCCTCGCCTGTGGTGGCGCTGTACCAAGGACCACTGAAGGATTCAACATGAAAACCTCAGAAGAAGACATTGAAAGCAGCTTCCTTCTTCACAATATGTAAAGAAACATGGAGTGACATCAGATTTTAGTGTTTGTAGGATTTTTTTTTAGCAAATGTGTCAATCAAATAGTCTTCATCAATGGGCTCAGCCCGAGTGGAAGAATGAGGTGGAACCGCAGAGAAAATTGTTTTTATTGTTGGCTGAGACAGCTCTGTGTGAGGCGGTGTTCACCGAGTAGGAGCTCATCCAATCTCACAGCAGATGTCCACCTCATACAGACATCGAGTGAGGTATTTACAAAATATAAGTAACTTTATAACTGTTTTTGCTCAGAATGCATACATGTCAAACCCTTCGGACATTTACCTGTATTAAGGGCCTCAAAAATCATAAGTTTTGCAAAAAATCCATACAACTTGCACCCGTGGGGTGGGGTGTGTGTGTGTGTGTGTGTGT